ATTAATAAATAGCATTAGTAGCTCATTGATTTTATTTTATTGGTTTATAGGGTACTAACCAACGTAAGATGATGATGACTATTTTGACCAAGTTGAGTAAACCTATATACACTATATAACCAAAAGTATTGGGACACCCCTCCAAATCATTGGATTCAGGTGTTCTGTGAAATTCCCTTGCTACTAAATATTCCACGTTCAACTGTTAGTGGTATTCTAACAAAGTGGAAGCAACTGGGAACAACAGCAACTCAGCCACGTCAAATGACAGAGCGGGGTCAGGGCATGCTGAAGCACACAGTGCGCAAGAGTCACCAACTCTCTGCAGAGTCAATAGCTACAGACCTCCAAACTTCGTGTGGCCTTCAGATTGCCACAGCAACAGTGCGTAGAGAGCTTCATGGAATGGGTTTCCATGGCTGAGCGGCTGCATCAGAGCCTTATATCACCAAGTGCAATGCAAAGCGTCGGATGCAGTGGTATAAAGCACGCCGCCACTGGACTCAAGAGAAGTGGAGACGTGTTCTCTGGAGTGACGAATCACGCTTCTCTGTCTGGCAATCCGATGGACGTGTCTGGGTTTGGCGGTTGCTAGGAGAACGGTACTTGCCTGACTGCATTGTGCCATATTACTTTTGGTAATATAGTGTATGTCTATGAGCAATGTCAAATCTTGTTATCTGGATTTGCTTCTGAAAGTACTAACCAACTTGAGATGATGATGGACTATTTTGGCCACAATGAGTAACCCTACATATGTCTATGAGCAATGCCAAATCTCAGTAAATATAATTGTGGATCATTCTCAGGGGATATTGATTGGGCCTCATGGAAAGCTACTACATTCCCAAAATAAAACTTGTCTCAGAGGTGCGTGCACAGTACATAAACACACGATTGATTGAACTGCGCACATTTACTGTATATGTATGCACTCCTGTCAAATATAATTTCTGGTCAGTTCATTCACAGTCCAGTTGTGTGGGGATGTAGGTTCAATAGCAAAAGGGGGTCTGTTTGGGCACAGGAGAAAGCAGAAAGATTTTATTAAACCCCAATGGGCATGTTTGCTAGTCTATAAATAACACAAACCTATAGGCCATCTTACAGTTTGCAAAGCATATGTTTAGAGCTAATCTTGAAGATTTCATGAAAAAGCTTCTTGGAGTTATATATTTTAACACGATACAGTACCTTACATCTACCTATTCAGGCGCATAGATAGAATGTGCCTATTTATCCACTAAATAATTATGAGTAGGGCACTAGGCAGTTTTATGTCAGGAGCCTCATAAGCCACCAGAGAGATTCAACACTTCCCCTCCTCCCTCCCATATCACTGCAGATGCTGGTCCCGGCCTCTCTTTGGGTTTTATTTATATCATCTTTTTTAATCATTTTAACATTTAATGCTCCTCAATTAAAGTGTTTTTAGAGTGGATCCAGCTTAAATTGTGCATTAAGCACTTTGGTTAGCGGTAGTTAAGGGAAAGGAGAGGGATTACAGCTGAGCATGTGTGCGTGTCAGTGTATAGATGTTTGCAGAGAGCTTCGCTGTAAAGCAGATTATGCTGCAGCATTTGCAATGGTGAGGGCAGCTCACAAGCTGCATGCATATGGCTCAAGGGAGAGATTAACCCCTTTGTGGCAGGTAGCAGGGATGCATAGCACCAACATGCAAAAAACAAACAGAAGGCCTTTTTCTGCATGTCTGGGATTTCTTGAATGTCCGTGTTTTATGCAACAGAGGAAATTACTCATTGCAAAGTGCCAAAGTCAATTTAAAAGCACTGCACCAAGGTGAATTAAAAGCCATTCTTGAAAGGGTACCTTGTGTGGGAAGGTTTGCTGGCAGTGAACTTGCAGTCTAAGCAATGCTTTAGAATTTGTTTAATATCTAGCTTATGCATCAGTGAGCAGATGCTTTATTTTACAGTGCACCAGAGGGGACAATTGTATATGCCTAAAAGTGATTCATAAGTGGCAACATGCATTGCTGCATGAAAACAGCTCTGGGTTAAATGCAGCCTGTTGGGTACAATCTGTAGTTGGAATGTATAGGGGCTAGCGCATCAATAAAACAAGCTAACAAGGTCAACTGTAATTTTTTTTATTAGAAGGTAGTAGCCAACTCATTGCAAGAGATATTTACTGATCCCCTCTTCTTTAGGGTCAATGGGTGCAACAAAAGAAATAAACATTATAGAATTGTAGATTTTTCTCTTTACAACAGTTAGAATTCAGAGGTCCTTACAATCCAGCTCTATTTTCCAACCTAAAATGGTATAATACGGAGGGCAGGCAGGAGCTGCACAAATGTGTTTCCCTATGTCCACCTTCAGGGCCTTTTAATTCTGACCTAAACAACATGTGCATAAGAACCCGCATGGTCATTTTGATATACATCAGATGAGGGAACCCCAAGGTGTCTTTTGAAAAGTACACATTTGCTTGTGTGTATGAACGATGTAACTACAGTATTACTGTATAAATTATAGGTCACCAATTTGTGAACACTGCTTATGATCTACACTGCCTGGCCAAAAAAAAGAAAGTCATCACCTGGACTTAGCTAAGCAAATAGGTCAGGGCCTTCTAATTGAATAATTAGTCTAGGTTATGTGCCCAAAAAAGGGCAGCTGCCTACTTGAATATACTGAATGACCAGGTTTTTCCTTCCATGGATTTTTTTCTTCCCTGATGGCACGGGCATATTCCAAGGTGAGAATGCCAGAATTCATTGGGCTCAAATTGTGAAAGAGGGCTTCAGGGAGCATGAGACGTCATTTTCACATGTGGATTGGCCACCACAGAGTCCAGAACCCCATTGAGAATCTTTGGGATGTGCTGGGGAAGACTTTACACAGTGATCCGACTCTCCGATCATCCCTACTAGATCCTGGTGAAACATTAATGCAACTCTGGACGGAAATAATCGTGACATTGCATAAGCTTACTGAAACAATGCCACAGGGAAGGCGAGCCGTAAACAAAGCTAAAAGGCGGTCAAACGAAATATTGGAGTGCGTGACCTTTTTATGGCCAGGCAGTGACTAAGACACCATCACTGACTAGTATTGAAAATTATACCGAATGACTAATTTTGTTGGTTTACTAACAGGAAAGTATCACTGCAGCTCACTGAAGCTTTGGTGTCAAATGAACCACAAAGTTTAGATCTAAAGGACATTCCACTGTTTTATTGTTATGCTGATTGTAAAAGTCTGTCTGCTTGTCAAGGACCACACTGCCCGATAACGAAACATGATAGCTTGCTCCTCGATAGGATTGTGGACCAACATATAAATGTATTTGCTTCCTGGTTAGATTGGTTAATCTGTAGAACGATCCGTTGCTCTTTAGCACTTGAACTAGGGGGTACCCAGTTGTTGATTAGAAGTCCATTAAACTGTCCAGTTTGACCTGCTCACAATATCATCAAGGTTAGTCAACAGGCAGGTTGTTTACTGGCAACCAGCCAGCAATACTCCTCTTGGGAAAATACTGTTCATCTCTTATTAGTGTACCTTTGCAATCAATGGGCAGAGGGTGAAGATCAGAGGTGGCAGGACAGGTAAGAGCTTTCTTTTGGCGAGTGCTTTTTTCCCAGAAGGCAGTGTTCCTTTTGGGTAAATTTCCTTTCAATTCTGTGTCCTATAATCATTGTTTCTGCAGTAAATGAGTGAAAATCTACCCACCTACACTATGTTGCATGAGAGCACAATTTATATGGTGCAAGCTAGAGGAATTACTATTTTTTTCTTCCTGTATCAGACATGCTCAGCTATGACATGCTGAAAAAGAGTGGCTACACACAGGGTCTGGTTTTTTTCACAGCTGCCCCAAAGGATCCCCCACAGCGTGCTTTTTCAAGGAAAAGGTTGTTGGTTTCCTGAAATTGCAGTAGGGCTATGTTAAATGGCCAGTTTAGATGCAAACAGTGCATAGGGGTCTTATTTGTTTTTACATCTTTTTTTTTTCTCTCCTGTGTTGAAACTGGTTACTCTCCATTCCCTATAAACCTGAACCTCTACTATATAACCTTTTGAATCTGCAGTAGTGGTTTTGAGCCTTCCTTTCATTTCCTGTCTCAACAACTTCAGTCATCATCAATTTCCTATGCTCCTGATCCGTACTGTTGGCCACCTCGCGCAGCCAATAGCTTTCTCTGCCATCAGCAATTACCCGACCTCCCTTTAGACGTGCATGCTCCCTGTGTGGTGCAGACTTGCACTTGATTACAAATCTGGCAACTAATCAGCAGATTTCGGGGAGAATCTACCACATCTAAAGGGATGCCAGGGGTGTGTTCTTTCATGACACTCTTGAAAGATCTGAGGCAGGGTGCTGTGACGTTTACAGGACCCTGGCTGCCACTTCCACCAAACACAGAGCAAAGACCAGCAGACAGACCCAGTGATGATACCAGTGGGTCTCAAAAGAGGTATTTCTTGAAAACAAAATGATCTGATTGAAACATTTTAATTGCATGTTGATTAGGAAAGGAAGCGGGGACAAGGGAAGGCATTATATCAGTACATTAGCAGTAGCACTTCAGCTGTAAGCAATTGCAAATCATTTACAATACATGCACCTATTTGAAAAGCATACTGTTTAGGTATTAAGCTTGCTCGGGTACACATTTACATTACATGGAAGCCATGTAGTATCATTTACTACAGATCTACATCATTTAGAACATCGGTTGCATACCTTTTGTAATATTATATGCATATTTGCAAATTGTGCACATCTTTGAAAGGGTTTATGCTGTGTAAATCTTTTTAAACCTTCCCCACTAACAAGTTTGTCGAGGTCCAAATAAATAAAACACTTTTCAAAAACACATTTAGTTTTGACGAAACTTTCTTTAATATTCATCATCTGATCCTGAATGTATAAAAGCAATACACGCAAAAAATGAATGAGACCATTGAGAGGCCAGACACATCAGGTTCATACTGTGCAATAAAAACAACACACTAGAAACTAGGGCAAAATATAGACTTGTACGTCAGCTTTATTTTGAAATTTCAAGAAGGCTTGGGGGCTTGTCATGTTCCCCAAATGTGGCATGTTGTTTTAGCATATCTGAAATTTGCTTGCTGTCCGTCGCCTCATGTGGCTGGAATCCGTCATTGTCCACAAGAGAGGGGTCAGCACCATGGTCCAGAAGAAGGTCCACTATATCAATAAACTCACATGCAGCAGCTGAAAGACACAAAAAGAGTTTACAGCACCACAGGGAGCAATACAAATGAACAGAACAGCAGCAGAACATGGAATGTACCAGTTTATTAACTATTAAAGTCACCATTGTCTTATCTATCTGTTCAGAGTATCGGAAAGACACACATATTCTGTTCAGGGAAACCTGTCATAAAATAAATAAGCAAGCTGTCATTGTTGACTTTCTTCCCAAATATACAGGCGGACCACCTCCTGAAAATATTACCTGCCTATCTGTTATGCTAATATTCTGGCAACATTTTTAGTCACTGAGCTGGAACGGTTAAATATAAAAAGTCCTGACTTTGCTTCATACATGATCTGGAAGAGGAGAAGATCAACTGAACAGTTGGATAACTATCCTTTTTAGGTCGGGAGAAGGGAGGGAATGATCAGGAATGGCAGCCTCCATACTTGTCTAATGGCGGGTTTCCTTTAACGCAGAGCAGTTGCGCAGAGCTCGCTCACTTCTCGATTTATCCGTGCAGAGAGCCGTGACTGTCCCTCACGGCTCCCTGAAGGGATTCCCCCCTTCACTGTCTGATCATCCAGCGCTGACTGACGGAACGGACGGGGGAGGGGGCGGGTACAGCTGGCTCTGCCTCTAGATAGGCAGAGCCAGCTAGATAGGCAGAGCCAGCTGTCACTCACACAGCTGGGTGGATCCAGGCAGTAATGTCGGGTTCCGTCCCGGCGTCTCAGTATACCGCGAGCTGTAAACTCGCTATATACTGAGTTTTGGGTGACGGGAGGACGCTAGTTTGTGTCCTCCCGTTACCCTGAGGAGAACTATGGGGGAAAAGCCCTGACCCCATAGTTCTCCTTTAAGTCCTCAGAGAACAGCCTGTACCTGAAAGGTTATGTACCTGCAGTGTGTATTACCTATTTATAGAACTAGTCACAATCTGCTGGCTACTATATTGAACAAAAACATATCCACAAAATGCTCAACTTACTAGTCTATGTACCAAATTATTTGCTCTATATACTTTTTGTGTCATTTAAATGTCCATTTATGTTCAACTTTTTCTTGTATGACTCTTACAAAAATTAAAGAATGGAGGAAAAGATGACAGAAAAAAAAAAAAAATCATCTACCACATTGATGTATAGACATGAAAAATGCACTGAATAAGCATTCTGATGCAGGAAATATGCTCTCCCCAGAAAACATACAAACACACATGCATGTATATTCATACGAAACATGCAAAACAATCACAATAAACAAGCTTGAAAACAAATAAAAATTGCTAATATTTTGGACAGTAAAAGGGAAGACCAGCCTTTAGCATTCCCAGTCTTTCAGTACCTAAATAGCAAGCCACTGTCATTCAGAGAATGTGCCGTGACCAATGCCTAAATATGTATATTATATGTATATATTCCTTTTACATATAGTTAAGGATGTGCATCCGGTTGCAGAACTGTTGCCATTCATTTCTTCATCTTCACCGGCTACAGTATACTGTGCATAGTTGTACCAGCACTGTCGGTAAAGTGATGCTCAGTGGATGACATCTTTAAAAGGCTGCTCAAATATTACTGCAAATATTTTTTGGAATATAATTTTGTTTCCTCGAAGCAATACAGCCACTTTAAAATCCTGATTGCACTTCTATTCACAGTGATGACAGGAGAGATGTATACTGCCTCCTCCCCATACCAGATGGGCACTGGTCTGATTTCAGGCTCTCTGGCTTCTCAGAGAAAGCTGATTTCCACTGGGAGATCAGGAAAATAGTATTTCATACCCCTTTTCCAGGGCATTTCCAGAATAGAGGCGGCAACTGGAGGGAGGAGAACTCCATGCTGACCTTGGATAGTCATATGCAGGGAAGATGGATTTACAGCCATTTTATGGGGTGTCCGACCTTTGCTATTACCACTTGCTGTCAGGTTGCAGATAACTCATGAGAGCGGAGCTGCCCAGCACATAAAGAGTTTAGGGACAGGCAGATGTTACTTCAAGGTCCTGCTGTACAAAGACCTTAAATTCTGAGCAACAGGCCATTAAAGAAAGGGCTATGCTCGAAGCTGACCATATACCCAGATATCATTTTCTCCAAAAACATCTTAACAAGTCCCATGACAGAATGTTGTTACATTGTCAATTCAAAGGTTTACCACTTTACTAAAGAGTCAGGTTTATGCTTATGGAGACCCTGTCACCAGGCCACACTTCTTTATTTGAACCCTTTATTCAAAACTGCAAAAATAATAGATACTTGTGTACCAGTTTCCTCATTTGCTTACTATTAGTTAAAAGACCCGCAAAAAAGCCAACAATTCAGAAATATTGGATTCTACTCTCTGCCACCCCCCAGCTACTAGGGGAAGGTCCCCAGCAAAGCCTGTGTGAAGACTGACAGCGGAAGCCACTGGCAGACAAGCAGTAATGTAAGCCTTGCTATCATGGGGCCCTGTCAGGTCTGTAGAGACTTCCCTTCAGAGCTGCCAGAGTTGCATGAAGAAAAAGCTTTCCTTATAGCTAAATGTCCTACTGTCAGTATAAGCTTGAGGTTTTTCTATGAGCGCCGGATCCACTACCACAGCCATGAATCAACTGCTGAGCTTCTCCACACCACTGTCCGAGAGGTTACATTCTTATTACTTCTGCAGGAGTGTCACAACAAAAAAAATACCAAACAACAAAACTGTTGGGGACACAAATATGTGATACTTTATTGTTCTATAGTTTGACCTGTTGAAAGGGCTTCTTTAATGGAAAACTCCATGCAAACATGACTATATTAACATTAAAATCAATCCCATCAAACATGAACATTTATTCTGACTCATGATACATAACCAATCTGCTGGTCTGAAGTGTCCGTAGAGTAGATTGCAACCAGAGAGGTAATGAAGAAAAGTGCAAAGCTCAACCAGGAAAAAAGTGGTATCACCTCCTTGGCTGTGCTGTGTAGCAGAGATGTGTGATTCACATGATTGGATGATCAGAATGACAAATCCAATGGCAATGTATGCGTTTCATTTGTGCATTTAGCTTTTGGGTTGAAGTTTTGACCTAAAGTCCATTTTACACTTTTAAAAAGTAAAAGCTTTAAATGAGGACATTCCAAGATGCCTGCTTTAACTTTTATCAGCCAGAAAGTGTTTTCTGTGCCCATTATTTTGTTTCCCTTTGGAACTTGGGCTTGAATGTCCCTGAGTTCATGGCTACATGCGTTGTCTAAAAGAGCTTCCCCAGTGGCCATTAGAAGGCCTCTCACTGAATAGGGGGGTGGCACTTTGTGAGGTTTAGCCATGGTATCAGTGAAAATCAGGCTCCTGTAACAAAATGGAAGTTATTCAGATAGAGCACAGAAGAGGCTTTCCTGGTGAACAAAAGGTAAAAGCGGCCATAATGTGTTGTCGATTCTCAAGACCTTTACTTATAAAAGTGAAAAATAAAAGTATGGGTTCACATTCAGTTGCCCATAGACAAATGTCTAGGTTCTATGCAGACACCCCAGGGACCGGTCAATAAACCTGTGTCATAGAGAATGAACAGCCAAGAGTATCCACTAGGAAATAAAAGAGCCCATAGACATGACAACCAACCGAGGTCTAGGTTTTAGGCTTTTAGCTCCTTTTAAAAACTGATAAGAAATCAAAAGAACAAATTACACTGAAGAAAAAGACATTACTTACCATAATGCAGAGGTGTCTGCCCTTCTGAATCCTGGGAGAAAAAATATACACGGATCAATTGTGTGTACAAATTTAAGTATAGTTGTGCTAAATGGATTGGCAAAACTCCTAAAGATCCCTATAAGAGTTGACCAGGTTCAATGCTTATTGATAAAATGTCACATCACAGGCCAGGAAAGCATTAACGTATTCTAGTTCCCCAGTTTGGAAAACAATACATTAGACTGATATATTCAGTCTGAAGCCCTTTTCTAAATAAGCTACAAACATTTTATTAAAAAAGGTAACTGTTTTAAATGAAAGAAAACGACTACTTAATTGTACCACCACATTAGACTTGTCATGGAATATAAAATGTAGTAATATTCACCTGGGCATCAAAACCTGATAAAGCAGACGTGGCTCCAAATAACAGATTTTACCAAAGACACCCCTAAAGTCTAGGAGGGAGTATATTTCAAAAACAAATGAACCAAATTCTCATTTAACGTTAGATTTTACATGACCAGATAAAAACTGGTCAGATGGTCCTCTTCAGTATCTGCTACAATATGTCAGTTCCTCTCTCCTAGTGTCATCATATTAAAGGACAAGGAGCATAAGAAGTAAACCTGTCACAAATCTGGACAATTTAAACTGAGAATACAATAAAACAACACATAAGCAGAAGCTACCTTCAATGAATAACCACATACAAAAACCAAAATCAACAGATCCAGAGATACAGGCTACCAAAGTTATATGCAAATTTTTACTTTTCCTGCAAAATATCAAGCTTGGCCACAACCTTTTCTTACTACCTAACCATTTGTTAATGTGTTCAAGTGGAATCAACTGGGATGTTTTGGAGGTGGGATCAAATTCACTTTGCAGGAAAAGTCCTATAACTTCAGCTGCCTGTAACTTTGGATCTAATTATTTTAACTTGAGATGTGTATTGCAGATTACCTCTTTGTATGCATTTGTTATACAGTATATGCTCATTAGAAATAGTGCAAGTGTACTCCCCTCATGCCAAAACGTTCAAAGAAAACCCCCAGAAAAACACTTGTGGAAATAATAGAAGATCCTTGGAGCACAGGGTATCCTAAATCTTGGGAGGAGATGCTACAGCACTGTGCAGGAAAGTGATACATTCTCATCATTTTAAATTTCAGAACTGGATGGACAGAAATACAAATCCTTTGGAATGTAACCAGCTCCCATATATGTATTTGATCTGTGTAGTTAGATGTTTGCCCGAGTTCAAATTTAATCTGACCATTCTGTGGATACATGTGTGTTGTTGGAGTGTGACATGCACATTTAAATTTTTACATGCTTACATTTTAATACTCCTATGATTGCACTACACACAAACATTTGTTTATAATCTCTTTAGTGGATGTCTAGAACATCAGGCCACATACCTACAAAACAAGTGCTGAGATGAGAATAATCTAATTACGGAGTGCATTGTTTTCATTTGGACTAATCAGACTGATAGAGTTGCAATGAGAGGAAGGAACAATAAGTAAATCAATGTGATCGCTAGGCTAGAAGCAAATAACAAAAACTTGAAATCTTTTTTAAAGAAACTAGTCAGCTATGGAAAGCATTGCACATTTGCTGGATTTGTTTGTTATAAAGCCTGCATCGTTAGTATTGATAACAGCATTTAGATTCAGCTGCTTAGAGTCACATGTAAAACACTTTAACAAATAACAAAAACTTGAAATCTTTTTAAAAGAAACTAGTCAGCTATGGAAAGCATTGCACATTTGCTGGATTTGTTTGTTTCCAGTTTGTACAATGTGTCACCAAATAACACTATTCTTATCAACCTCTTTGCATAGGATTGCTCTCCAGATGTGCATTCGACCTTAGCTCCCAGCTATTAAGGAGATCCACTGTAGAAGATAAATTGAATTCTGTTGTCTTGTAAGTAATGTTACCATTTGCCGTAATACAATTGTAAATGCCATGTCTATCTTTGACCATTGGCACTTGTATCCCCTGGATAGCAAAGAAACTTTGTTTCTTTACAACATATTAGCACATGCAAAGGTAAAGAAAACACACTCATAAAATGCTAAATATCTATTGTGTCACGTATGCTTTGTACAAGTAGGAGTACGACGAGTGGAAATACTGATGGACTGCAGACCACCCAGTAGCGCAGTGGTTAAATTAAACTGACAGTAGCTTTAATAGGTCGTCCCAAGAGCATGATCACAGAGGTTAATGAATACAACGATACACAAAGCTGCACAGTGCTTGTGAATTCCACCTGACCCAGGCGGAGGGAGAGACAGAATAGGGGACAGATGATGTGGGTGGGAGGATGGGATGGGAGACTCGTGCCAGCCCTTAAACAGCCAAGCATCTGAAGCTTGCCACGCGTTCCTGATTGGATTAACATCTTAGCTCCCAACAGATGAGGAGTGCGTCTGAAAGCATCACGGGAGGTAACAAAGGTCTTGTCCCATCAGCTACTGTGCATATGGCCTGGGAATTGCAGCTTACTTCCAAATTGTCTAGGATGCTAGTGAATTTACCAAAACACAACACATGTAAAATTTAAGCGAACGGTCTTATATCATTTTAACATTTGTAGTAGTTTTTATAAAATAGTGTTCTACAATGGCTTAATAAAAGGTGGGTATTCCTTCTCTGAAGTCAGTCCGAGTCTATGTCACTTCCTGTAAACTACATTTGTATTTAACAGGTTCCAAGATTAGTAAATTCCCTTTCAAAACACCCTGAACTCTAAAATCTGGATTCACTGGGTCGATTTAAAAATGATCCCTCTGGATCCAAAACTCTGCCATATTTCAGACCACTGTAGGCAGACAAGCCCACAAGGTTTTGGATCTGGTGGTTTCCTGTATCATGGAAAATGACCAATTTTTGTGGATGTATTTCTGACAGTGTCTAAGTCCAGCTCCTTCAACAGGCCTTGTTTATCAAGAGGGACTGTCTAAGTCTGTAAGTGACTATTGCTAAAGTCATTTGCTGCCAGCTCTGCCACCTGAAATGATAGGAAATTATACTTTTATTAAAAATAAAAGTATGTATAAAGAAGACAAGGCAACAGGTCATTGTTGAAAACCTTTCACTGACAAAGAAGGCTGAAAAAAGGGGGAATACTCTGCTGTCAGGTTACACCCCATGTCAGACATGCAATTTTGCTGATAAAACACATGGGCAGCAGCAAAATCACCAAGGAGAGGAAGGCACTTCCTCTAATGGACTGCCCAATCACACCAGCTAATGTGTTAGTGACATCCCTCTGGTCCAGCTAGCTTTAGCAATAGGTAAGTTCTGATAGCGATCCTCTTGCTGGCCAGTTGACACAAAAGAGACAGGCAGCAAAAAAACACAAACGAAAAGTACAGGAGTTTTAACTTACTTTACTCTGTTCAAATAATAGAAAAGTTTTGGCTTCATTTATACTTTAGACCTCATTCACATGAGAAAAAGCCGGCACGTACAGCTCCGTGAACGGCCGTATTGGGCAGCTCCCGGGAAGGACAGGTGCTGCGTGTGATTAGTACGCAGCCCATGTCCTTCTCTATGGGAGTACGCTCCCCAACACTCACCCCAAGTGCAGGTCCGTACGGGTGCGGGTGTCCTGGCCCGGACGCAGACAGGATCCATCCTGTCAGTGTATGAGTACAGACACCTGCACGGACGTGCAGGGCGGGTGAGCGCATACTCCCATAGAGAAGGACAGGGGTTGCGTACTAAATCACACGCAGCACCTGTCCTTCCCGGGAGCTGCCCGATACGGCCGTGCATGCAGCACAGAGCTGTACGTGCCGGTCTTTTCTCGTGTGAATGAGGTCTTAAGTTTTTCTTACAAAACATATTTTAGAATAACGGCAGGGCAACACAATTCTATAATAAAATGCGTGTATTCCACATATGGCTTAATGTTTTTCTCTAGAAAGACTTATTTAAACTCTAAGGCCCCATTCACACTGAGCGATTCGCAAATCGCGCGTTTGTCGCGCTATTTGCATTTTGCGCGATATCGTGCAAATGCTTGCATTGAGCAAGCTAGAATCGCGGAAAAATCAGCTCCAAAAAGGGTCCTGCTGTGGCGACGCACGACCCGCGACAGCGACGGACAGAGCCCCATTGCCATGCATTGGAGAGCGATAAATAGCCGCGACATCGCGGGAAATACCGCGCGATAAATCGCTCAGTGTGAACGGGGGCCTAAAATGAGACACTTTTTATGGATGGATTGTTCCTTCTCCCTTTTGTTACATTAAGAAATACATTTCAGTAGACAAACCAATTTAAGCAAAAACAAAAGAAATACATTCTAGATATTTTGTTTTCTTCAAAAATAAATGTGGAAGTAGTTCAACTATAAAAAACGAGAATTTAGTCTTTCATCCATCTCTAAATGACATGATGTCAATTTTTCCAAAAACCACAAGATCAGCAATTGTATCAGTCTCTCCAAAAGAAAATAAATGCAACAATCTCTCATTCCTAAGAAACAAATCGAGTTGGAGAATTACATAAAGTAGCATGAGATCATAATAGAGTCTGCTGCACAAAGTATAGCCCATGTAGGTAATATCTAACCCCATCAATTGCCTTCTAGAACTCGGTTATCTCAGATCAGCATGACATAGACTTACCATACATATGACAGGTTGGGTAAATGCAAAAGACAAAAAGGTCTTGTTTAAAGGGATGTTCCTGGTTTAAAAAAAAAAAGCCTTTCTTTACTCTATACATTGGCCCCATAAGTAACAGGAGGAGAGACTCATCCCTACACTTCCGATATTACATCATTTCACTAAAGCTGGACACAGGCATGTAGTGCCCAATCATGCTGGCACAATCTGACCATCTGGCTTGGCTGAACATACAGGTTTAGTGAATTGAGAAAGGGAGGAGTGGACAGATGTTCCTGACTTCCACTATCTTAGGAAAGGAAAACGACCTGAGCAATCTTTTCCTGTCTGCATCTGCCACATACATGAAATCAACAGTTGAGTGTCTGTCATCTCATTCATATAACCAACCAAT